ACGCGCACGGCCACGACCATATATTAGACCAACCATTATATTTAGCTAAATAATTCAAAGTGCCCACATGGCATTCCAGTGAGAGGCAATCATATCACAATTCTTCTACATTTATATCGCATTTCAGTCTCCATTGAGCTGTTGTAGTCAGGTGACCAGAGGTATATTATGAGTACTCTTTTTGTGTCATATGTAAACTTGGGATACGAGATGCATTGCATGCATTCAGCTTAAATAGTTTAGGTCTTGAGAGTTTTGATGCATATCCAGCAAGTATAATAATTCTTGTAATTTGTAGGTAGAGTCTAGGAACAAAGATAAGATAAATTAAACTTACGTGTCAAATTTGCATACCATCATGATTCATGACCAGCACCGTACCACACCTGCATTGTCATGCAGATCGAGACCCCTCAGCATCTTCATAATTGAATATTCCTGTATGTTCATCATCCTCTTCTTACGAAACAGTACAGTGTCTTCTTCTTCAATTCCCCAAGAGAGCGAGAGAGACAAGTTCATCTTTACAAATCATCTTGTAATATTTGTCCTCATCCTGGGCGATTATTGACTGCAACTTTGGATACGGCCCAGCTCGATCTCACAACAAGCGTGGATTCCTGCTTGCTTTTATGATCGAGTTGGATAAATAATATAATATATGCAGCAGCCTGGAAACTTTTAATTTGGACCTCCCAAAATTGCTTCGTAGATCCCAATGTTATGTTAAAGTGAACAAAAATTAATGAATGAAAAATGGTATATGTTAGTTCATGCATTTGCGATATTGGCGCCCGCAGCGGAATCATTTGGCTCATTTTGTTGGAAGATTTCACTGTACACTAAAAACGTAAAGCCAATCCAAACATCTACGTGAAATGATGATCTCCAATAAAAAAGCTTGGATCTGTTATAATTTGCGAATCCCATGCGATAGGAGCAACATCGGACGCATATTCCCCCGGTATGAACCTTCTTCTCACGGTCAAATGCACGTCGCTACTGCCGCCGATCTGGTTCATCCATCATTCTCCGATCCACGACAAGGCTAAGGCTTTTCTGATCTGCCATCCGGGTGGCCGAAATACGAACGATGAGGATTCCAACGTAACCGCTGGAGCAAGGAGCGTTGTTAACGAGCGCTGCTTCGTTTACATGTAATCTGATCTGGATAGCCAGGCGAACGTACAGAACACAACAACGCTGCGAAACTCCGATGCTGTATGGCGTTCCCAAAAAAATCTCACGCCAGGCCACCAAGTCGCTGATCCCCGGCTTCCACTACTCTTCCCCTTCGTCCTTCTTGGCGTCTCCAGTCTCATCAGCTTGGACTAATCTCAGACTTCCGGCCGCCGACGGTGGAGGAGCAGAAATGGTTTAGTGATCCCGGCGCCCAAGGAGCCCTCTAAGAAGATCGAGGTGTTCTCGCCGGCGTTCTATGCCACCTGCACCTTCAGCGGAATCCTCACGCACACAGCCGTCACCCCTCTTGATGTTGTCGAGTGCAACATGCAAATTTACCCCTGCCCAAGGAGCTTGCAAATATGGGTTCTCGCCGGTTTTGCCGGGGAATTGCAGTGGTAGCGGAACGAATTGCACTAACTTCTCACCTTCCTCTCTCCGTCACGGGAAAATCGCAGGGAATGAAGGAAAAACATCACAGATCGAGCTCGGACCAATCGCCTGCATTGATCGAAACGTGGTAGGGAGTTCCTGGTGACGCAGCTAGCTTTTGCGTTTGAGAAAGTTGCTAGGATTTTGCTTCTGTTTAAACGCACCACTACTCCAATCAGATTAATTTTTCAATCCGGCATGCCCATTCATATGACCATGTCGCAGGAAATATAGGACTTCATGGATTTGAGAAGATGGCGGGGAGGCATGCAGCTCTTAAATACAGGATCACTGAAAATCTTCCTGCGTCGCGCGGGCCGGCCTTCTAGATAACAACTGGTGAGGTTGAGAAGAAGAGTATGGATCCTTAGTACATAATACGCAAGGTTTTGTGCTGCGGAGGCCCGATGTATAGTCCAGATCAGATCAAATAATGCGATGGAGATCGATGGGAACCCATTTGTCCCGAATTCGAATCGGAGTGAATTCAAGAAAATTGAGACTCCAGGATGGTGGCAAGAAATGGCGAGGATGAATGGAAATTGCATAAAAAATGAGATATTTTATAATTTTTTCCTTTTGCTGGAATTCATGATTGTGCAGAAATTGAGATCTCCGGGCTGGCCTGCGGCTTCGTCCCGATTCACCAATGATGGAATTGCGAGAGGCAGATCGAGTCAGTGTGGATTGCAACGGTGATTAGATTATAGACAAAAAATAGGGGCACACACGAGCTTGATATAATTAATTGACATGATAGTTGATTGTGATAGTCCTGTTAGACCAAAAGTCGAGAGCACGCTTGAGCTTGTACAGCACCTCTCAACAAGAGCACCAATGATGAATTTAATTAACTCACCCGGATAAGAACACGAATAGTAAATCCAATGATAGATTTAATTAACTCGGGGTGGCCCGAATTATTAAATCCGGATAAGAACACGAATAGTAAATGAACAGATAGACGATGTTGTAAGGTCGCGGGGACCGTATATTGTATTATGATCGTAGTGATCAAGCTATTACAAGGGGAACGTAATGCTATTACAAGTAGTCGTTTAGGACAAAAGGTAGAACATGTCATTCACAAGACAATTACTAGGCTATTTATGCAAAGGAAATTCCCACCAATTACTGCTAAATTCGTGGAGGGCCATGGGACTAAATCCAAGCTCATGTGGTGGGCCGTGGGACTAAGTCAAGGCCCATCATTTTAGGCTCGGAGGCAAGCTCCGGGCTTGAGACTCTTCTTGGGCTGCTCGGATTACATTCCCGGACTCGGGTCTCTATTATTATGGGGCCATTTCCAATATATCCATCAGCAATCAACCGTTAGCTCTTCAATATTAGTATATATTTAATATTGTATGCACTAATTTTTAGTTGCTCTTGCTTATGTCCCGTATTTGGATTCAATACAATTATTTTATTGACAATTATAATCAATCTTGAATATATTATCTTGCATTTGTAAACTTAGAATTACCTATTTAAATACACAAATTCAACATTCAATTATCTATGCATGAATAATTCTAATATAATCTTGTCTTTGATATACTTTAAAGTACTTATTTAAAAAAAAAAAAAAAACATTGGGCATTATCTCAATCGCCCAATGCGCCTAAAAAAACTAGTATATATAATAAAAACATAAAAAACTAGTATATATAATAAAAACATAAAACACAACCACTGACTGTCCAGCAGTGAGGAAGCTGGTGGTTGAGACGGCCATGGCCTTCAAATCTGGAACGAGAGCGCCCATGGCCGCCTCGACGCCGCCCTCGTTCCAGATCGGCCATGACTCTCTGGAACGAGGCCCTCATCACAGCCAGATATCTGATGTGGTGAGTTCTCTTGGAGGGGAATTTTTGAGTTCCGGTAATAACTGTTGGGTGACTGAGTTTGAGCGCAAGAATTTTCTGTCACTAATCAGAATATTGGGGTGGAGCAGAGCTACATTTCCGTTGTTGAATTTGGGTTTTGCACTGCTGGAACTCCTCTTGTTCTTTGATAGAACTGACTGGAATTAGACTAGAATGGTTGAGGTAGAAATTTTTCTCAAGAATTTTTTGTTTGCCATTTTTAAGCAGAACGAGTTGGAGAGGCAGAGATGGAAATACTGTTTGTTTGTGTCTAAGTTGGTTTTTGAGGCAAATTTTCAATAAAGTACTGTTATATATCATTTTTTTTTTTCAATTGAAAATGTACAACTACTCCAGTAAATAATTAATTTACACTTACTTAAAGCAGATATTCATTCATATGTTGATATACTACAACTGAATTATAACTACATAAATTGTCACTGAATCCATACTTAGGGTGTATTTAGTTTGCACATGGGAATCGGAATCGGAATGAGTATCAAATATTTAGTAATGGTAATGGGTTTTGGTAAAAGTATTTTGCATGTTTGGCAGTAGGGTGGAATGAGAATGATTAGGCTAAGGATGAATAATGGGATGAAACCCTTATAAAATAAGGGAATTAATTTTTCTATTAATGGAGTATTCCAAACTCATAGTAGTGTTTTAAAAACCAGTCAACCAAACAATAACAATCATTTTCATAACCAAACAATAACTCTGAACTCCTCTTGCCTAATGGATGTACAGAATTAATCATGTAAAAAGTATCAAAAAAAGACAAGTACAGAAAATTAAAAAAATTAAAAAAAAAAAAAAAGAAAAGAGAAGAAGTTGCAGTTCAAAGAGTTCAAAATCATATCTCATCACCAAAATAATGGTGCTTAGTAGCAACAATTCTTTCTTTGAGATATTGGCATGGATATAGGTTCTCTAGACATTTGTAATTAAGATTAGATTAAAGAAAACACTTCTTGTAATTCTTGTAATCATAAAATAGATAGTATGAAAATGGAAAACTGATTTCAGTAGCATAAAAAAATAAAAAATAAAAAATAACACTAAATTGAAAAATTGATTTGGCATCCTCTCATTTCTAGTACTTCATATGTTTGAACACATCTTATTGCTCACTTGGTGTGCAGTGCACTGATATTCTTTACACTTCACAGATACATATTGAGAAGGCATTGTTTAAGATACATAGAGGTAGAACTGAATATGGACTGTTAAAGAAAAAGGAAGAATCATGCTTTGGAACAATGAGAAATAATGATTAAGATTGTTGCATGTGTTCAATTAGATGTGTATCAATTTAAATTTGTATTTTAAACATGCAGCCAATTCGCTTTCCAAGGCAATTCGAATAATGTGTTGTTGCATTAATTTAGTCGACTAATACATCATTAACTTAGACTAAACCTGATTAGTGCAGTGGCGGTAATCCAATGTGAACATCACTAATAATATGAACAAACATATATAAAACGACGTTGTTTTTGTTGTGTGGGAAAGTGAAAATCATGAAGCTATTGATTTATTATAGAGGTTGATACTATAGCCAGAATGTCCCTTTTAACTAGTACATTCTTTTTAACCAGGACTATGTGGTCTAATGGTACCCGGGTTGGACTCTTCCATTTGGAAGGTTGTAAGTTCGAGCCTTAGTGGAGGCGTTATTGGCTCTTTGTATTTCAGTAGGTTGAGAGAGTATATGAACAGATACTACAATGTAATAGAGCTAGTAACATTCAAAAAAAAGTACATTCTTTTTAAACTTGTAAGGTCCTGACATGATCACAATAATAGCCAAGAAGTAGTTTAATGATAACATTCAGGTCAATATAATGACATGGAGGATATTCAAAGGAAGATTGTTGGAATTGGGCACCCAACTTTACTCCAAACTGAGTGGTTTCTAGACCTAGGGTCACCTAGCTAGCTCCAATGATCTCTCCTTCCCTTTGCTCATAGAAGAGGAAAACTTGTTCAACCAGAGGAAAACTTGGAAAGCGAATTGGCTGCATGTTTAAATTACAAATTTAAATCGATACACATCTAATTGAACATATGCAACAAACTTAATCATTATTTCTCATTATTTCAAAGCGCGTGCCTGCGACTAGTATATATATATATATATATATATATATATATATATATACATATATATATATATATAGGCTTTGGTTCCCATGAGGTCTCTACTAAAAATGAGATCATGAGAACCCATCATCACCATAGACTCGTTTAAATTTGATGGTTGAGATTAATTGAGTTGTATACATTAATTAAGTACAGATTTGCAGCATAAGGATAAAAGAGTAAATGTGTTTGTGGAGTTATTTATGGTGAGAATAATCTATTAATATTTAGCATATTAATAGACTAATTATGAATGGTAATAAATAATATATATTAGTGACTGGAGAGCAATATCAACGGAAAATAACGCAAGACCGGTGAAGCATAGCTTGTCCATGGCGGGAGACAATACGTGTATGTGTTCCTGCCCTGATTTTTGTATTAGTATTCCAACGGAAGTTATTGCATTACTTAGTAACGGCGTATGCAAAGTGTTCGACATTGACGGGCGGTAGTAGTTGTCATTTTTTAGTTGAGAATGGTGTTGTTCATTTACGACGATGTTTGTTTGTTTTTGTTTTTGTTTTTGTTTTTGTTTTTGTTTTGTTTTTTTTTTTAAATTTTATTTTTACGATGGTAGAGGAAATAATAACACAGTATAGTGTATGTGAGATGGGGGTTAATGCATTCTGCAGACATGCTGTGTGCCTGATGGGGGTTTTAGGGGGTATGGCAGTGACTTTTAAGAGTAATTGTGGGGGGGCATGTGCTTAAATTTCGGTAACTAGTTGGGTCTTTGCGTGGTGATGGTTATGAGAGTTGAGTAGGTGGAAGACATCCTAGTGTTGTTAAGGATTGCCTGTGCGTGTGAGTGAAGTGGATTGTGCATGTCTGTGCCTGAAACAATCAAGTGGTGCGCGTTTGGGAGGAAGCGAACAGTTTTATTGTTGCCATTTCACGGCCTGTGCGTTTAATTGTATGGGTGTGTGCATGGATTAGGTTGGGGAGGGATTCCACGCGGTGGAGGGAAATTAAAGCGACATTGTTAATCCATAGTGCACGGTGTGTGCGTGAAGCTAAAAGGGTATGTGCGTGTAATTAAAAGCGTGTGCGTGTAGACATATGGGTCTGTGCGTGTTAATCATAGTAATATTATAATTAAAAGCGTGTGTTTGTAAACATATGGGTCTGTGCATGCATGTGTTTGGGATTGGAGTTACGTGGAGCGGGGAAGCCTAAACGTCGTTACGTAATGTTAGACGATGGTGTGTGCGTTAAGTTGGTAGAGTAGGTGCGTGAGGAGGGTTTGAATGGGTGATCAGCTGAATGGCATTCGAATATTATAAGTGATGGTGGGTGCGTTTAAATATATAGGTTTGTGCGTGTGTTTGGCGATGGGTTGTGTAGTTGATTGGCTGACATGCAGTCGAATATTATAATTAAAGGCGTGAGGGTGTAAATATATGAGTCTGTTCATGCATGTGTTTGGGCGTGGAGTTTTCGCAGAGTGGGGAACCCCTAATGTCGTTGTATAATGTTAGATGACGGTGTGCGCGTTGAGTTTGTAGGGTATGTACGTGAGGACGGTTTCGATGGGTGAAGAGCCGAATGACATATGAATAGTATAATAGACGGTCTGTGCATTTTAATATACATGTTTGTGCGTGAGAGTGCATGTAGCAGTGTACTTCCAAATTAGTAGCAGGATTCCAACATGCTACAAAGAAAATTCATTAAATTCATTAAATTAGGAAATAAATGGAAATGAGGGGTAGGTGTAACTGTGTGTAGATTGTGTGGTATTTTTTTGAAGCATGATCATGAGTATAATCAGTTTGTTAGTGTTGTATCTCAAAGCATAAGTACGCGTGAGGGTATTCGTTATTTTAATTGTTTAATATTAAATGAACGGATTAAGCTTAAATAGCAGTATGGGTTGGTGCATTTAAGCGTGCGTGTTTATGTGTTGGTTAGCCTAAGTATTCCGTGTACTAATCTATGCATGTAAATGTATTATATAAGTTGCAGGTGGTGACGGTACAGTCTGGAATGCTGAAAATACGAATGGACAGACTTGTGTTATGGATGTCTCTCCTGGAGGTACTAAGTCGTGGCTACCGGAATGTGACGCATGCTTGAAACCATATGTAGGGCAGATATTCGATACAGTTGAAGATGGGATTAAATTCTATACAAAATATGCTATTGCGGTTGGATTTGATGTGCGTCGCAGCTCTGATAAAAAAAAAAAAAACAAATACGGTAATGTTTTGAGAAAACAAGTGGTCTGTAACCGAGAAGGGTATAAGGATACGCACAAGGTGATTACCATTTTATATAAACAGACACACCAAAATTAAACAAAAAGAAAATATTAATCCGAGTGTTATGGATTTGAAGAACCATGCATCCGTACCAAACATCTACCCAACCCCCCCTAAACCAAAAAAAGAATGGAATTGTAAGAACATAAACAAAAAAGAAAACAAAACCCAAAAAAAAAAAACCCGAACAATATCAAAAATAGCTAGACCGTAAAAAAAAAAAACAAAAAAAAAAAAAAAACAAAAAAACAAAACTACAGACGCAGACGGGGAAACCCTAATCGACCACCCACCCCACCCCCCCCCCCCAAACAAACCGAACAAAAGGGAACAAAAGTGAAATTAACTAAACTCTTTTTCGTTAGTTTCTCACTATGATGTTTGAAACTTTGAATAAACATATAGACTAACACAAGTATTAAAACAAACAAAAAAATAGACTAACACAAAATTTAATGTCACTGAGCTGGAAAACTTCTAAAATATTCAAGCATGCTGCTTATACAGTTGCACTTTGTTTTCTTCTCATCCCAAACAAATCCATGCACCCACCCATACAATTAAACGCATCGACTGTGAAATGGCAAACAATAAACACGAAAACAACACCCAAAAAAAAAAAAAAAAAACAAAACAAATACAAAATTCGCTAGACCGTAAAAAAAAAAAAAAAAAAAAAAAAAAAAAAAAAAAAAAAAAAACAGATGCAGACGGGAAACCATAATCGACAACCAACACCACTCCCCCCCCCCTCGGAATAACCCCGGCAAACCCCCAGCTACACACCACCCGTCGCCGCTCCAACCCCCCTTCACCAACACCACCACCGCCCCATCTATCTCCCCACATCACAGCCAAAGCAACCCCTACATCCATTGAATGTCAGACTTACACAGCCTCACCAGCAATACTTCAAACACAGTCGACGCAACCCCCCGCCCCCCACTCGAAAACACAGACAACACCCCACTACCATGCAAAAACCCCAACAAACCAACCTAAAACCAAAAATCATAAAAAAAAAACACCATAAACAAACACACAATTGCGAATACAGCACCTTGAACAACCGAGGAGGATGAACCACGTGGACGCATCGACCGCCTATTTGATGAGCAGTCCATGGAGGATGAGGAAGATGAAGACCACCGGCTACGAGAGAAAGCGTACGAGATGGGAGCCGGATGTTTCTCTACTCCGATGCAACCGAGAAAAGCGCGTAGAATGGTAATAACACAGTTGCGAAAGGAAAATAAAACTGGCGAATCGACTTCTAATCGGCCACTAATTAATGCGTAGAAGAAAATTACCTGCTTACCCCCAACAATTTAACGCGGCATATTATTCACCCAAATACATCCTACAAAATCATAACCATCAAAAAATATAAATGGACGCTCAGGATCGGTTCTCACGTCCTCACATAACTAATGTGTCCTCACTAGATCCAAAATATATATATATATATATATATATATATATATATATATAGGCCAAAGACCTTGTACTCTAATAACACCAGGTTACTCACTTAAGTGGGAGGTTGTGGGATAAAGTCCAGTGGAGGAGGCGATATTGGCTCTTTATGCTTCAATTGGTTGAGAAAGTAGTTATGAACAGATACTTTAGCGATATTGAGTCTTTGTGCTTCAATTAGTTGAGGAAGTAGTTACAAACAGGAGTTTTTACCCATTTTGGTCCCTTGACTATATATATATATATATATATATATATATATATATATATATATATATATATATATATATATATATAGGCCAAAGACCTTGTACTCTAATGACACCAGGTTACTCACTTAAGTGGGAGGTTGTGGGATAAAGTCCAGTGGAGGAGGCGATATTGGCTCTTTATGCTTCAATTGGTTGAGAAAGTAGTTATGAACAGATATTTTAGCGATATTGAGTCTTTGTGCTTCAATTAGTTGAGAAAGTAGTTACAAACAGGAGTTTTTACCCATTTTGGTCCCTTGACTATGGCTCATTCTCAATTTTGCATTCCGACTTTTAATTGTACCCAATGTGGTCCCTTGACTTTTAAAAATTACCCCAATTTGGTCCTCCGTTACCTTTTCCATCAATTAGGCGTTAAATTGGGGGGTATTTTGGTCTATTCACGGGGGTGCTCACCTGCGTCTTCTCCGGCTCGGAGGATGCGTTTTTGGAGAGCCCAAAATCCGCCATATTCGCTGATCAATCCATAGAGCAAGTGAGCGAATTCCCTGCACTATTTTTGAAGCTTGGCACATTGGACCCCAGCCTGATATCTATTCTTCACCGAGCATTCAAGCCGTCATGGATGACCTTACCGATCGTGCCGACCAGATTCTGTGCCAAACCATCGAGCATCACAGGTTTCATCAGCGCCCCGATCGATCCAATTCCTACCGGGCCTTCTCCTAGTAGATTCCCCGAGTGAATTTCTTGGGCAAGTCTGTCTTACAATATTATGTACTATGCATATAAAAGTCCACGGCCAATTGTGTTCACACTCACAGGGTTCGACTGATCAATTCATAGAGCAAGTGAGCGAATTCCCTCCACTACGACCAAGTTTTCGTCGAGCAAGATGTTTTTGCTCTTCACGTCCCGGTGGATTATCCCCTACGCTGCGTTGGTATGCAGTTCCCTGGCTACTCCAATGCAGATTTCCAAGCGTTGTTTCCATGAAGGCAATGGGAAATTCTTGCCGGGTAAAGATGGTCCCGTAAGGGGCCATTGGACATGTATTCATAAACCAGAATCATTACGTTGTTCTCTCGCCCACCAACCCCAAATACACGTTGCCGAAGCCTCCGATGCCGATGATTTTGGTCGTCTCCCAGTTGTTGGTAGCCTCCTGCAATTCTGAGAAAGAGAAATACCTGTCGAATTCGGATGTTGATGAGAAGAACAGGTTGTTCTGCCACGATCCTAACGGAGTTTTGTTGTTGGGGTTCGTGAAAGTTGTGTCTCCGTCGTGAACAGGAAGCAACCACGACGAGAAACTGCTTCTCCTCCGCCAGTCTTGCGGCTGCTTCCGCCACTTGATGGCCATCTCCCCCAACCCCACGAACGAACCGAACATCATGGCGAATCCGGCAGCCGCCACCGTTTCACGGTTACTGTTATTACCCTCTGAAACTCTCGTGTCATCGACGCCGAATTCTCCGTCCAGGCTCCCCACGAAATTATTCATCTTAAACACTTCGAGCCCATTAAAGATGGCATTTCTCGTGCCCTGATCTGGAGTCGGCGAGTTCTTGTGCCGATGCATAAACCGCCAGCAAGACATGATTACCCATTTCCTTAGGGTCAAGCAGATGAATGGACCAAAATATCCCCAACTTAACGCCCTAATGGATGGAAAAGGTAACGGAGGACCAAATTGGGATAATTTTTAAAAGTTAAGGGACCACATTGGGTGCAATTACAAGTCAGAATGCAAATTTGAGAATGAGCCATAGTCAAGGGACCAAAATGGGTAAAAACTCTTACAAACAGATACTGCATTATAATAGAGTCAGTATTGTGAAAACAAATCCCTTCAAAGCAATCGTTATACCCTGCACCACGGTGCACATAGCAATGTGCGTCCCACGCCTCCTCAAATGACGTCGTTTTATTAAGTTGTGTGGGAAGTCGATGCGACAGAGTGTATGTGTATTCTGTTATATAATTATGTACATTATGTTATACAATTGATAGTACTAATTTCCGGTTGTCGGTTGTATGTACGTGTGTATATGAATGTATAAATAGAGAAGAGGAAATATAGAGTAAATATGCCTCTTTTATTAATCCATCATTGTTCTTCATGTTCTTGTAGAGAGAAGCTAGAGAAAATGAATTTAGAGAGAGAGAGAGAAAGCTCATGTCCAAAGGGGGAAAAGATCCATCAACTAGAGGGCCAAGAGTCCTTTTTATAGGGGAAAGGAGGTGGCGGGTTTGACCCGTCACCTTTGACCTCGACCCGTAAATCGGGACCGAACCGCTTGATCCCGACCCGACTATAAGTGGGAACACGGACCCGGGGTATATAACCTATCATGAAGTCCCCCCACCCCCATCCCGTGCTCTGAGGACGAGTTAGCGAGGAAGGGTTGGGGCTGGAAAAACTGATTACACGGTCTGTGACGTGTGTCGGTTGCCTCGTTAAAAACCTTAGGCTAACCCAAATAACCCAATGGGAAAAAACTTCAACCAAGGGAAAAAGTACAACGCTAAACACAGTCTGGTGGACTAAAAAAGGTTGCCCAACCTAGGGGTCAGACTTGCAACGCGACTTGCTAGATTTACTTTACCGATTACGGGATTGAATTTTCTTATGATCGACGGATTGAACTTTTACGTGATAAGGGAAACTCAACTGCGCCGATCTTAGGGACCGGTTTGATGCAATCGGGAGATTGGACTTTTACCGCGGTCTTAAGGATCAAAAACCGATTCGCGTTCGGCTGGTTTTGATTACTATACTAATCACTTTGATTTGCTTTTGAGAACTACGAGTTACTTGGTCGGGTGTTTTCCCCCTTTTCAAACTCGGTTTACGAATTGAAATTCCCAGGCGGAGGGACACTAAGAGACCTGATGGTCTAACGATGACGAGACCACGGAGGTCATTTGTTGATCGAGAGGTTACGATGAGACCGGAAAAGTCAGTCAACTTAAACAGCGCTTCGGTAAACGAGCTAAGTCGGTCTACTCAGGAAGTGCTTTTGGTGAAACGAATGCACTTCGACCGATGAGCGAGCTAAACGCTTTGGTGAAATGAACGCGATTCGACTGACGAGCGAGCTAAGAGCTTTGGTGGAATGAACACGATTCGACCGATCCGCTCGGGAACACTTTAGGGAAGCAAACAAGAATTCGACCGATCCGCTCGAGAACACTTTAGGGAAGCGAGCAAGAAGCGAACGAGCTACTCTACCGATACAACCCCCCACTCCCTTAGGTGCGAAAATCGTCAGCATAAGGGAGTAGATACAATGGATTTTCGAGTTCGCCTTGCTAACTTAGACTGCGATTAGGAAATAACCCGACCGGACTCGCGGTGCGAATGCACCGCGCATGCATTGTTTTTTTGCTTTGATGGTAGGAAAGGCAACTCTTTGTCACGGTCCCCACATACGGCGGCAAGATGATAGTACTAATTTCCGGTTGTCGATTGTATGTACGTGTGTATATGAATGTATAAATAGAGAAGAGGAAGTATAGACTAAATATGCCTCTTTATTAATTCATCATTGTTCTTCATGTTCTTGTAGAGAAAAGCTAGCGAAAATGAATTTAGAGAGAGAAAGCTCATGGCCAAAGGGGGAAAAGATCCATCAACTAGAGGGCCAAGAGCCCTTTTATAGGGGCTAGGAGGTGGCGGGTTTGACCCGTCACCTTTGACCTCGACCCGTAGATAGGGACCGAACCGTTTGACCCGATCCGATTATAAGTGGAAACACGGACCCAGGGTATATAACCTATTTCAATAATTATGTACATTCTAGTATATTATTATGTACATTATTTTATACAATTATATAAATTTTTTATACAATTATGTATATCCAAATACGCAATTTTTTTAACAATTAAAAATTTATGTATATTCTGTTATACAATTATGTATATTCTATTATATAATTATGTATATTTTAAGATGCACAACATAATTTGCCGCCCCCATCTGCGCCAATCGCCAGGCATTCACCGTCACTCCATAAGCCATCTCTCTCATCGCTCACCGCCGTAACCATCTGCGACTCTGCCTCTCGCCCTCCAGTACCCCCAACGACCACTCCGCTCCAAGTCGTCGGTCAGCATAGCCATTAGCCAGTCAGGTCTTTTTAATTTTAATTTTATTTATTTTGTTTAATTATTGATGTTCTATATTGTTTAGTGTTAAAACTTTATTATGCGTATATCTGGGTTTTTTTTTTTTCTTGTATTTATAATTATTAGTTTTGATCTAATTATATTTGTTTTTTTAGGATGGCGGAAGTTTCAGAATTCGTATATGCTTATTTCATCAGCAAAGAAGCAATTGTTCGGATTAAACTCCCTAAGACACTTAATAGATCGTTCGAACACAAACCCAAAGTTGTTTTCTGTAATTTACATAAAACTCTTGCAGAAGATATGGGAGTCTTTAGCCACAATCACATTGTATATATGGTTGGGGGCTTTCATGGATGGTCATCACCATATGAATATGACAATGTTTATATGTTTGATCCAACCCAGTTTGACGAGCGGGATTTTCCGGTTCCGGTTGAAAATATTGAACAACTTCCTTACTCAAAACTTGCACCCATGGTTAATCCTTTTGTCATTCACATTGAGGCTGGGTTTTACTTGCTCACAATTACTGATAGAATATGCAAGTCCTCTGGCGTGCCCTTTCCCTTGCGATTTCAACACTTTGATCCAACCCATAAAGTGTTTGAAACCTGGCCACCCCCACCACTTTACCCACAGGATTGTGAAACCTCCTCTCTTTTTCCCCCTCTACGCTGTTATTTTTTAATTAGAGGTTATATCTATCTATGTATGGGAGGTCAAACTCGTACGCATGCATTTAAGTTCAACACCATGAAAATGGAATCAGAATGGGAGTGTTGCAATGCCATGTTGGATACATTTGACACGAAATGTATTTGCTTTCCCTTCGGTCATTTTGGCAATGTGGGGATTTCAGATGAATTTGCTGATGAGACTTGGATTCTAGTCTTCCTTAATTACGCTCAGCCCACTACATACTATGTTACCCTTCATGATGATGGTTATATTGTGCCTATATCTTCCAGATTTTGATATTGATATGCCTTACTCAAAGTCTTATCTTAGACATTTATCTGATATGGGAGGTGGAAGATTTTGTGTGATACGCAATTCTTTTTCAGCTCTTTTTCACTTGAATATGAGATTCAAACTTCTCAAAGTGGAGTTGTCAGTTCGTCAATTATTATTTTCTCAATGAAATTCAATCCTAATGACACCATCCGTAACACCATCCGTGACACCCGTGACACCAACACCATCCATAGCGGTCGTGGTCGCGGTCGCCCTCGCCCTCGCCCTCTGAGGTTTCTATATACCGGTCTCTGTATAGCGTAAGTACACCCCACCACATTCATTCTTTTCATTCATGTTTCTACTTGTGTGAAAAATCTTAATTGTCTGTATATTTATTTCCAGCTCTGCTCCTCCTCCAGCATCTCCCGTCAATGAAGACCAAGACAGGGGTGATAGGAAGATGAAGGGAAAATGGGAGAGTAGTGGGACCCACTGTGGCATGCATAAGAACAAGAGCTGTTGAGTAAGTTTTCTTCTTTTTCTTGTGTTGTTGGGATGTTAACTTTGCCTATTCTGTTTAATGCAACTTGGAAAAACTTTAAAATTTTCACTTTAGTATGTTGTATTTGCTTAATATAGTAATTAGCCGTGTTAATTTATTGGGAAAAAATGCTTCTTTATTTCTTACTGAAACATTGATAAATATGTTTCATTCTTTCTTATCTGGCTTTATTTAAGTTGTTCTTGATGGCTTATACATTATACATATACTTAGTATAATGTGGTAAATTTAAAAGCCAGCTATGGAAGAGCTTGTAAAGACGAATACATGAAACCTGCCTTTCTATACTATACTATATAGTATTTATTGGAGGCATTATATTATATTCTTCCTTTTGGGGCTGGCTGTTTTTCATCTTGAAAACCAGTTAGTTGTTCTACTATCTTTGGTTTCCATTCATAGTTTAGTTTTCCTGATCACATGTGCAGAGATAAGTGTTGTGCTCTGCTGCTTCTTGCAGTGAAGACTATTACTATTATCTGACTGCCGCTTCCTTCGTCCACTCTATTTTCAACCTCTGATATTCACCAAGCAGCTAGTCTCAGGCAGGCATGTTATATTTCTTTTGGGTACATGGATGTTGATTGAGTCATATGGCAGCTATGTTTGTTTTAACCAAATGGGACAATTTCTGGTTTGTTTCTGTGAAGATTGACTGACTTGTCTGATGGCAGGCAACAAAGTACATACTCAGTTATATTTCTTGTCTTAGGATTTGTGAACTTGTGGATTAATTATGAATTTTTTTTTTTTTTTAATTTCATTTCTTTAACTATTGCATTGCATTTAAACTTGAAATGATACTAGTACTTTTTAGTTTGTGTTGATACCCTGCTCTATGGTTTTGGAGGAACCAACCATCTCCTTTGGTCCAAAAACGACCACGACCGCTATGGATGGTATCGGTGTCACGGGTGTCACGGATGGTGTTACAGATGGTGTCATTAGAATTGAATTTCATTGAGAAAATAATAATTGACGAACTGACAACTCCACTTTGAGAAGTTTGAATCTCATATTCAAGTGAAAAATCAATACTGAAGACGTATATCACAAAAACATTTGGAGCTGAAAAAGAAATGCACATCACACAAAATCTTCCACCTCCCATATCAGATAAATGTCTAAGATCAGATTTGGAGTAAGGCATATCAATATCAAAATCAGTTTTACATTCAGCTAGTACCCTTTTACATTCAGCTAGTACCCTGGAAGATATAGGCACAATATAACCATCGCCATGAAGGGTAACATAATATGCAGTGGGCTGAGCGTAATTAAGGAAGACTAGAATCCAAGTCTTATCAGCAAATTCATATGAAATTCCCACATTGCCAAAATGACCGAAGGGAAAGCGAATACGTTTCGTTTGAAATGTATCCAACATGGCATTGCAATCCTCCCATTTTGATTCCATTTCCATGGTGTTGAACTTAAATGTATGCATACAAGTTTTCCCTCTAATACTTAGATAGATATAACCTCTAATTAAAAAATAACAGTGTAGTAAGGGAATAAGACGGGAGGTTTCACAATCCTGTGGGTAAGGTGGTGGGGGTGGCCAGGTTTCAAACACTTTATAGGTTGGATCAAAGTATTGAAAATGCAAGGGCAAGGGCAAGCCAGAGGACTTGCATATTCTATCAGTAATTGTGAGCAAGTAAAACCCAACCTCAATTTGAATGACAAAAGGATCAACCATGGGTGCAAATTTTGAGTAAGGAAGTTGTTCAATATTTTCAACCGAAACCGGAAAATCCCGCTCCTCAAACTGAGTTGGATCAAACATATAAACATGATTGTCATATTCATATGGTGTTGACAATCCATGAAAGCCCCCAACCATGTATACAATGTGATTGTGGCTAAAGACTCCCATATCTTCTGAAAGAGTTTTATATAAATTACAGAAAACAACTTTGGGATTGGGTTTGTGTTCGAACGATCTATTAAGTGTCTTAGGGTGTTTAATCCAAACAATTGCTTCTTTGCTAGTGAAATAAGCATATACGAATTCTGAGATTTCCGCCATCCTAAAAAAAAGAAAAATAATTAGATCAAAACTAATAATTATAAATACAAGCAAAAAAAACCCAAATATACCCATAATAAAGTTTTAACACTAGAACAATCAAAGTATTTAACATAGAACATCAATAGTTAAACAAAATAAATAAAATTAAAATTAAAAAGCAGCAAAATAAATTTATAGACTTGACTGGCTAATGGCTATGCTGACCGACGACTTAGAGCGGAGTGGTCGTTGGGGTACTGGACGGCGAGAGGCAGAGTCGCAAATGAGGGTTCGGATGGTTACGCCGGTGAGCGAATTATTTATGAGTTAGAATAATGAATTTTATGTGTTGGAATAATGAAATTTTTGGCATAAAATAATATATTTTATGAGTTATAAAAATGTACATTATGCTTTAGAATAATGTACATTATGAAGTATAAATATGTATGTTGCAGCGAGTCGCGTGAAAAAAAAAAAAAAAAAAGTAAATATAAAATGTCATTTTTGGACCGTGGTCCAGGGTCCACATAGCATTATTAACATTGAATTGAAACAACGAGATACAGAATTCATATTCGTAAGGTACAGAATTTCATAACACAAGACACATACACATGTTACATATTTACTTATTTTCCAAATCCAAACACACCATAATATGTCTAACAAAATGTGACCCAGAACACCAAAAATAGTAGAAATAGATGCATTAGATAAAGGTTATGAGGGCATTCTTAAACAACCCATTATTTGATAGACTGAAGAAAAATCCAAAACCACGGACAGAAGAACATACTATAGTAAATTAGTAATACATCTAATTAAAAAACATATAAAAACATTACGATGTCTAACAATATGTGATCCAAAGCATAAAAAATAACAGAAACAGATGCACCAGATAAAGGTTATGGGAGCATTCTTAAATAGACCATAAAAGGAAAAGATCATATAATAAGATATTACTTAGGAATCAAACTAAAAATAACCATTCCACCATTAAAAAAAAAAACACTATCAATTGTTTGATGTGTTATCAAATTTCAAAATAATTTATAAAATCAACAATTTATCATAAAAGTATATTGTAAAGCAGCAAAAGATGTGTATCTTAAAGATGTTAAAAATCTTTCAGCAAAACAAATATTTGTTAGATGACAAACTTTATTGTCTGTCTTTGATTTCGATATATATATATATATATATATATATATATATATATATATATATATATATATATATATATATATATATACCTAGGTGATGGATTTAATTCCCCGGGGGTATCCCGAATTATTAAACCCGGATAAGTATACGTACGAGATAAATAATTGGACACAAAGATATAATAAGGTCGCAGGGACCGTAGGTCGCTGGGGACCGTATATTTGTATTGATTGCCGCTAATAAGCTATTACAAGACTTAATAGGACAATAATGCTAGAAGATAGCAATTTAGGAATCTGTTGTGTAATAATCAGGTAGTGATCCGTCCCCTTGATAGGACAAGAGGGAGTTCTTTTATATCAGCTCAAAACTCCCCAACCGCACCCCTAGGATCGGCCCGCTTTGACCGGGTCCCCCCGGGACCGGGTCCAAGGCGGGCCGACTCGGCACGGCCGAGCTGCCGAGCTCGGCCTAGCCGAGTCCATCCGACTCGGCATGGCCGAGCTGCCGAGCTCGGCCTAGCCGAGTCCACCATGGACCGGCCCGTCAGTGGCCGAGTCCATGGTGGTGGGCTCGGGTGTACCGAGCCCACCCGTGGCTGGACTCGGCCCAAGGCCGAGATGCCTTGGGCCGACTCGGCCACGGCCCACTTGACTGGGCCGGGGGACTTCTCGGGTCCGTCTCCCCGGGTCGGTTCGCTCCGGGTCCAATATATCCATCACGAGTCCCCCACTCTCTTCGTTGTGATAAGTCGACAACGATAGAGAGTAGACACCTTGCGAGCCGACTCCTGTGCGCTTGCCCCGAGTTGATAATTAGCCGACCTTCTGTGACCGAGCTCACCATGTCCGAGGCACCTTGGGCCGAGCACGGGGCCCAACCACTTTGCCCCGGGTCTACTCCATACTTTCTTGTTCCGCTTTCCCGGGTCAGTTTGCTCCAATCATAATATATCCATCATGAGCGAGACTTCTTCTCTTCCGCATTCCTCTTCGGCCGACTTTGGTGTGATTCCATCGCAATCGGGACTTATTCTCTTCCGTAAGAACACTAACAAGTCTTGGACTCCCTGGCATCGTGTATGAGACTTTGATTTCTGAGTTCACTTTTGGGCGAGCTCATGAGGTAGTTGTCCTCCTCCCGGGTGAGCTCATGAGGTAGCCCCTCTTGGGCCGAGGTGCCTTGTGTCGAGGCGTCTTGGACCGAAGTTCGTTGATGAAGTAGAGTAAACACGAGTCGCACTCCATGGGTCCGAGCCCCACACAGCCGACCCCAACGTGGCCGACCCCAACGTGCCCGACCCCAACGTGGCCGACCCCAACATGGCCGACCCCTCAACATGGCCGACCCCAACGTGGCCGACCCCAACGTGACCGACCCCAACGTGGCCGACCCCAACCCCAACGTGGCCGACCCCAACATGACCGACCCCAACGTGGCCGACCCCAACCCCAACGTGGCCGACCCCAACGTGGCCGACCCCAACGTGACCGACCCCAACGTGGCCGACCCCAACGTGATCGACCCCAACGTGGCCGACCCCAACGTGGTCGACCCCAACATGACCGACCCCAACGTGACCGACCCCAACGTGGCCGGCCCCAACCTCAAGGACTAGACTTGATAGCGGCTTGATTAGTGTCATCCCTTCATTATCATATGGGTCTCGTCTTCCGCTCCACGACTTTGTACTTTTCCTAACATGCCTCTCCCCCTGGAGGTAGGCACATTTGTGTCTCTCCTCCGGGAGGCGGGCACATTTTATGTCTCCCCTCCGGTAGTTGGGCACATTTTATGACTCCCCTCTGGGAGGTGGGCATATTTTATGGCCCCCTCCGGGAGGTGTGTCCTTTTGTACCTTGCTTCGATAAGCATGCTTCCCCTCCCGGAGGTGGGCACATCTTATGCTCTTGCTTCCGGGAGGTGGGCACACCTTACGCTCTTGCCTCCGGGAGGTGGACATACTCTATGCTCTTGCTTCTGGGAGGTGGGCACACCTTATGCTCTTACTTCCGGGAGGTGGGCACACCTTATGCTCTTGCCTTCGGGAGGTGGGCATACTCTATGCTCTTGCCTCCGGGAGGTGGGCACATTGTATTGACTTGGCGTTTTGAATGGACAATCAGCTCTCCCTTATTGATTCTATTTTTTTTTTTTTTAGCACAATGCCTTATGTTAACCGCTTGAGCCTAGTCCTCCTATACTAAGCCACCGGGCTCCTCCGTCGGGGTTGGTACGCGAGGTCGGACCTCGTGCCCCCTTAGGGTACGTTAGCCGCATGAGCCTAGTCCTACCGGACTATGCCACCGGGCTCTTCCGTCGGGGTTGGTACGCGAGGTCGGACCTCGTGCCCCCTTAGGGTGCGCCATCCGCATGAGCTAAGTCCTGCCGGACTAAGCCGTCGGACTCTCCTGTCGGGGTTGGTACGCGAGGTCGGACCTCGTGCCCCCTTAGGGTGCGCAAGCCGCTTGGGCCGAATCCTGCCGGACTTAGCCACCGAGCTCCTCCGTCGAGGTTGGTACGCGAGGTCGGACCTCGTGCCCCCTTAGGGTACGTTAGCCACTTGAGCCTAGTCCTATCGGACTAAGCCACCGGGCTCTTCCGTCGGGGTTGGTACGCGAGGTCGGACCTCGTGCCCCCTTAGGGTGCGCAAGCCGCTTGGGCCGAGTCCTGCCGGACTAAGCCACCGAGCTCCTCCGTCGGGGTTGGTACGCGAGGTCGGACCTCGTGCCCCCTTAGGGTATGTTACCCGCATGAGCCTAGTCCTCCTGGACTAAACCATCGGGCTCCTCCGTCGGGGTTGGTACGCGAGGTCGGACCTCGTGCCCCCTTAGGGTACGTTAGCCGCTTGAGCCTGGTCTTGCCGGACTAAGCCACCGGGCTCTTCCGTCGGGGTTGGTACGCGAGGTCGGACCTCGTGCCCCCTTAGGGTATGCTTGGGGAGGTCGGGTGAGTACTCGATTCTTACAACATCGTCGGGGGGACTTGAAACATCGTTGAAGGGGACACTCCACCTCTTAAAACGTTGTAGGAGAGGACGGGCGACCTCTTGAAACATCATTGGAGAGGACAGACGACCTCTTGAAACATCATTGGAGAGGACGGACGACATCTTGAAACATCATTGAAGAGGACGGACGACCTCTTGAAACATCATTGGAGAGGACGGACGACCTTTGAAACATCATTGGAGAGGACGGGCGACCTCTTGAAACATCATTGGAGAGGACGGACGACCTCTTGAAACATCATTGGAGAGGACGGACGACCTCTTGAAACATCATTGGAGAGGACAGACGACCTCTTGAAACATCATTGGAGAGGACGGGCGACCTCTTGAAACATCATTGGAGAGGACGGGCGACCTCTTGAAACATCATTGGAGAGGACGAACGACCTCTTGAAACATCATTGGAGAGGACGGGCGACCTCTTGAAACATCATTGGAGAGGACGGACGACCTCTTGAAACATCATTGAAGAGGACGGACGACCTCTTGAAACATCATTGGAGAGGACGGACAACCCAGTGGACCGGGCAGGTCCCTTTGTGGACCTCCTCTATGACTGACACCTAATGTAGCAAGGTGTCATTGGAGGACTTCTTGTAGTGTATATCACGGGGGACTATGTAGGTTCTCCCCACCGGCTTGGCTTCGTCCTTGTCGAGGGGCAAGTAACCCATAACATGTTCTTCCGTTAGGTAGTGAGTGGGGGCGTCCCCCCTGTACTACCGTTAGGGAAATGCCAAGGTCGGGGCCGGCGCGAACAACCGCGACCATGGGGAACATATGTCAATATTTGAGCTCCTAGGGTTCGGGGGAGCCTGGTGCTCGACCTATCACTCCCCCTTGGGAGGGCCGGGGTAAATGTAGGCACCCCTCGAGAGACGTCGGGGCCAAGCAAGAGGGTTCGGACATCTCTTTGGAGCCCCTCAATGGGGTGGGTCAACAAGGTGGTAGCTTGTTGGGGCGCGACCATTCCCTCTAGGAGCTCGTTCATTCGCTTACGGAGCTGCTCGGCCTCGTCACGATTGGTGCTTGGAGCTCGACCACTTGTTTCCCGACCTCTCATCTCGGGAGGCCTACTCGCGTCGCCGCGGAGCTCGGGGCCCGCGGCTTGGCGACCTTCGGGGACATGATTCCTCCGCTTGTAGTACGTTAGGGGTTGGTGGACTCGGCATGGCCGAGCTCGGCATGTGCCGGACTCGGCCTAGCCGAGTCCACCATGGACCGGCTCGGCAGTGGGCGAGTCCATGGTGGCGGGCTCGGGTATACCGAGCCCATCTGTGGCGGATGTCACCCCCTCCCCGCGTGTCCGATGGTCGGGGTGAGTTGACATCCTCTTCGATTTGAGTGTTGAGTGCCCGAGGTAGCCGGGTGCTTGGACCGGTGCGCCCCTTGAGGGAGGTGGAGGCGGGGTTGGCATCCTTTGTGTGGCCTCCAGACCGTCGTGCGCACCTCCTTGGGGACCCTCTGTGAGGTGAGCCAAAGTCGTAGAGGATTGCTAAAGGGTAACCGCCCCCTCCTGTAGCGGGGCAAGATTTGGAGGAGGGGCGATGGAAGCTGGCAGCCCACCGCTGCGATGGTTGGTGAAGTGATCTCTCAAGTCCCCGACCTGGTGGAGGTGGCCGGTTGGAGGCTGGGGGCCCCGTTGGGGCCGTTCTCGGTTGCGTCGAGCTGGGTGCCACGGGAACCGTTGGTGTGGTCGAGAGTTGGATCTCGACCTTGTCATGGTAGCTGGTCGCGGTAGACCACTTGGATGTAGAATACGCTTGAGCTGGTACAGCAGCTCTCAACAAGAGCACCAATGATGGATTTAATTCCCCGGGGTATCCCGAATAAGTATACGTACGAGATAAATAATTGGACGCAAAGATATAATAAGGTCGCAGGGACCGTAGGTCGCTGGGGACCGTATATTTGTATTGATTGCCGCTAATAAGCTATTACAAAACTTAATAGGACAATAATGCTAGAAGATAGTAATTTAGGAATCTGTTGTGTAATAATCAGGTAGTGATCCGTCCCCTTGTTAGGACAAGAGGGAGTCCTTTTATATCAGCTCAAAACTCCCCAACCGCACCCCTAGGATCGGGGTTAGTTGGATCGGCCCGCTTTGACCGGGTCCCCCCGGGACCAGGTCCAAGGCGGGCCGACTCGGCACGGCCGAGCTGCCGAGCTCGGCCTAGCCGAGTCCACCATGGACCGGCCCGTCAGTGGCCGAGTCCATGGTGGTGGGCTCGGGTGTACTGAGCCCACCCGTGGCTGGACTCGGCCCAAGGCCGAGATGCCTTGGGCCGACTCGGCCACGGCCCACTTGACTGGGTCGGGGAACTTCTCGGGTCCGTCTCCCCGATCGGTTCGCTCCGGGTCCAATATATCCATCACTAGGAATGAAATTTTCATCCCTGGCTTTCTTACTAAAGAATTTTTGATGGATAAGTGTTTTGAAAGTTCAAGATGACGGAGGAACATGACAAAAAACCCATTCTTCAACCAACTACTAATCTAACAATATATTTAAAAACAATTTTCCCCACGAGACAAGTTATTCATTTGGTGTATGTTTACTACAAACGTTAACAGTTCTATGTTTTTAAAGTTTTTATTTATTTATTTATTTATTTTAAGTTTTTCATTTGGTGTTACATGTTATTTTTAAGTGATAGACTTATGTCATCATGAATTAAGTAACTAATTGTACTCCTTCCGTTCCAATTTTATAGAGATGTTTAATAATTAGCTATTTATTGTAATAGTTATTTTGACTAGTTAATAATATTTGTGATTTTTTAGTACAATAATTTTATTAGGGATTTGTATAAAAATGTTTGATAAATTAGCTCATTACATGTAAAATGATTTATAAGGACATGAATTTATTGACTTACAATATTGCAAAAAAAAAAAAAAAATATATATATATATATATATATATATATATAGAGAGAGAGAGAGAGAGAGAGAGACTCGCGTGCTGCGAACCGCGCGTCCAGGAGAGAACTGCGAACTATTCAGTGCGTGCCAGTCCAGATCTAGGTGCATCTAGAGTTATAAGTAAGTGCACCTAGATGAAAGTAGGTGCACTTGTAGATGAAAGTAAGTGCAAGGTGAAAGTAGGTGCACCCGATCATGTTAACAAAGCAAAATTACATGCATCCACTTGTATGTGAAACTATGTGAACTTGTAAGTGATTTTACCTGCACTTTTTACTTGCGTGCACAAACTACTTGCACATATAACACATTTACATGCACTAAAGGACACATGGCGCGCGCGGGATAGTTCGCAGTTCTCTCCTGGACGCGTCATCCTGATCGCATATATATATATATATATATATATATATATATATATATATATATATATATATATATATATATAGGCATGTGGTAGAACAAGCTATGGAGGGACAGATCTGAAGATGAGTTGAGTTGGTGGCTTCTGGAGGATCAATTAGTCATGTTTTTTTCCTGTAATTTAGAGTCTTGATTTCTCAATCCTCCATTTTCAGGCTTGTGATGTGATTTTCTAAAACCTTGTATTCATGTTTGTCATTGTAAATTACATTGTTTCATCAAGAAAGTAGCTGACAAGTTGAAGAACTATTATACCTCAAAGGAAATAAATGCTCATTAAATTTGTATGCAGTGTCCATTGCAGTTGTTTTAATGTTCATTGCATTACTATTTATTGCTTTTGGAATTGATGATGTTAATCAATGAGTGTGTTCATTTCCTTTCAATTAAAAGTTCAGCACTACATTAAAGTTGAGGGTACAACATGTTTGGTGCACCATAAGTTTAATTTATGGTACACAAATTGGTTAAACAGAGACCATACCCATTGCTTTTGAGGGTGTGTTTGTTTGGTAAGTTTAGCACTCAGGTATGAGTATGAAAGTGATTGATATTGTTTGGTTGATTGGTTTTAAAACATTACTATGGGTTTGGAATATTCTATTAATGGAAAAATTCATTTCCCTTATTTTATAAGGGTTTCATCCCATTATTCATCTTTAGCCTAATCATTTCCATTCCACCTTACTACTAAACATTTAAAATACTTTCACCAAAATCCATTACCATTACTAAGTATGATATCATTCTTATTCCAATTCTCATGTGCGAACCAAACACACCCAGAATTTTCCCACAAACATGATTAGGTAAATTGTACATTTCCCTTGAAACTTCCTTCTCTTTTTGTTCATTAAGTTAAGTTATTTAAAGATTAGGTTATAGAAATTTATTGAATATATGAAACTCAAAAATGAAATCAATAAAAAAATATAGATGTGTGTCCAATATACTACTCCCTATTGGGATAATGGGAATTTTTTTTTTTTAAACAAACTTCAAATCTTCAAAAATTAAAACAAGGTGGGGGCAAAGATCCCCTGTCATAGTTATCATATGATATACACAAACATATCAAATCCTATAGCCAAAAAGGAGTATATATATACTTATAGAAGGGTAAGTGATGATGATCATGAGGATTGCGGTCGATCCCCACAGATCGTGCCAATGTTAAAAACGCGTTTCAATTGGATTAAAAGAAGCACAATTTAGAAGGTGATGCAAAATTCTAAGCTTCAATGTAAGCAGCAAGTAGAGGTGTGCTTAGTTGCAGTGACTTCATCAATGTGAATAATTTCCTTTCTTCCCTGCAGGCTTGAAGTGTGGCTAAGCCTTCCTCCATTAATGGCCTTAGCTTCAAGGGCCTTCTGGCTCACAGCTCGATGAATCTTGGTGATCATCTGCAGAAACGCCTCTTCCACGTTCAGATTCTCCTTCGCAGACGTTTCCAGGAAGGAGATGCCCTCCAGCTCCGCCAGGCTTTGCCCGTCTTCTTGGTTGATCTCTCTCGAGTTTTCCAGATCGCATTTGTTGCCCACCAGGACAATCACCATGTCTGAGCTCCCTTGCTCCCTCAGCTCCACCAGCCATTTCCTCAGGCTCTCGAAGGTCGCTCTTCTTGTTATGTCGTACACCAGTAGCGCCCCCAGCGCTCCCCTGTAGTACGAGCTTGTGATGGCTCTAAACCTGCAAATTCATGGTTCCTCAATGTTGAACGGAGGTCTGAAGGGTCAAATCCAAGCTGTCCAGCACTAAACCGCTAAGGAATTGTTGGGTGGTGGCCCAAGGACTAAGTCTAGCACCCCTCTTTCGAAAACGTGACATTAGCTGCTATGTACGTATAAAGAAATATAATTGTTTCTTGGCTAATAGCTTTCGGCATGGTGATAAGCATTTGATCAATAGTTATGCAATAGACCCGGGTCCACCTTGCAAGATGGATTCCAGTCAAAATACACAATTTACCTACTGAATGTTCACAATTTACATATTAAATGATCACATTCAGTATATAAATTGTGAACATTACGTATGTAAATTGTAAATATTTTGTATATAAAAATTGTGAACATTTAATATGCAAATTTTGAACATTCAATATATAAATAGTATATTTTTGGACCCGGGTCCACCTTGCAAGATGGACCCAGGTCCACGGAAAAATTTGCCACGTTTGATCCTAACAACTTTAATTTTGTGCTAGGGAATTGTTGGGCAAGACCTAAGTGGCCCAGTTCACTACTAGGTGGCTAGAGAATTATTGATCGATGGTCTAAACGCCAAGTCTAACAAACGTGGCGCTAACTGTTATATATGTATAAAGAAATAAAGTTGCATCTTTGCTATTAATTTTTCGCACAATATATACACTTTATTAATATACACTTTATACTAATAAATTTAATTTAATGTTAGGAGATTGTTGTACTAGATGAATGGCTAGAAAATTATTAAGTGGAGGTCTAAAAATCAAGTTTAGTCCTCAATATTTCAAAAATGTGTAAACTAGGAAATAAAGTTATCCCTTCAATACTAGGATCCCAACAAGTATAATCAAACAAACAACCTTAATTTTATGCTCACAAACAAAAGGTATGAATTGGATTGTTTGAAGAAGATAAGGATGAATGAAAGGATACCTTTCTTGGCCAGCAGTGTCCCATATCTGAGCCTTGATGAGCTTCCCACCCACCCTAATATTCCTGTAAGCAAATTCAACACCTATGGTGGGCTTGGAATCCAGATGGAACTCATCTTTCGCAAATCTTGACAGCAGATTAGACTTCCCCACGCCTGAGTCTCCGACAAGAACCGCCTTGAACAGGTAATCACACTCTTCATCAAACGAATCTACGGCCATGATTCAACGCCACAAAACATTAACCCAAAACCTAAATATAGTATTCAACTAAACCCCACCCTGCTGTCATGGGAGAGAGAGAGAAGAGAGAGAGAGAATTGAGGAAGAAGAAGAAGAAGAAGCAGAGGGTAAAACATGGGCTTTCTATCATAGTCACTTACCTAAAATGAGGAAGCGAGTTCATGAAGGGAAAAAAATGTTAATGATGATCTGGACCATGGGTGTTTTAAGTGGACAAATCTGAACCGTTTATTTAGACCAATATATATATATATATATATATATATATATATATATATATATATATATATATATATATATCTAATCTAATAAAATGGTAGTATTAACGAAAATGGATCAGGAACAATATTAGGTATATTTGGTTGTATTCTTCAATGGGAAACCATTGATTAATGATACGACATTATGGCGGTTCCTTAATTATTGGTAATACAATATGTCTTTTCCCTCCTCAATATATTGCTCACCTCTTAAGCGCGTATTCAACACCAGTTAAATTAGTCTCGTTCTGCGATACATATCTATACATTAGAACTAATGTTTCAGTAAGACAATATTTTCCATTGTAAGATACAATATAAATGTACAAACATTAAATTGTGTGCATTCAAGTTGGGCAAATTGCACACTCTAGACTATGTGTATTCATATTGTGTCTCACAATCTCACGAAAATATATTTTCTTATTTGATTATCTATGTATATATTACGATTAGTAATTCTGATCCCAAATTAACTCTTATTAAATAAGAACTTTTTAAGGTACAAAATTAAAGGTGACTTCTTCATGTAAGATCTTCTCACAGATCTTTATTTTTTAGATGACTCAGGTTTAGATGAAAAATGTAGTACTTATGATAGAAATGTAATACTACTAATTAGGGATAAATTGATTTTTACTATAAAGGAATTAGCGTAATTAATGCTTGTAAGGAAAAAGTTATACTTTTGAGAAAATGTAATACTTTTAAATCAAAATGTAATGTTTAAGGGTTGAAGAGTTACTTAGGAGTAAAAATATAATACTTATAAGGAAAAAATTGGGTATATTACTTATAAGATAAAATGTGATACTTATAAAAAAGAGTTAATTCCATTTTTGGTCCTAGATTTATAGGTGACAATCCACTTTTAGTTCTTTTTTATTATAACATTCTCATTTGGTCCTAGTATTATTGTGGTATGACCATTTTTAGTCCTTTATCTTCAAAATTATTGAAATATCGTTAAATACAAAGACATTTCAATCTTTTTTATATAAAGTATGTTGAATCGCTATATTTTTTATGTTTATTTTTTTGAAAACATTCATAATTAAAAATGTCCTTATATTTAATAATATTTAAACTATTTTGTTGATAAAGGACTAAAAATGGTCATGTCACGATAATACTAGGATCAAAAGTTAACGTTCTAATAAAAAGGACTAAAAGTGAACTGTCACCTATAAATCTAAGACCAAAAATGAAATTAACTATTATAAAAATGTAATATTTAAAAGGAATAAGGTTCAAATTGGCCACGGAACATAACCTGAAAATGCAATTGGGCACTAAACGAAAAAAAAACGTGCAATTAGGCCACTGAACCCTCCAAATGTATGCAATTTCACTGGATAGCAGGTTACCTGCTTATGTGGTAACTGAGTTGGTATTTTTAATAATTTTTAATAAATTTTAATAATAAATTTTAAAAAAAATTGAAAAAAAATTAAATAAAGGGGGGTGGGGGAAGGGGGTGGCCGGCGGCCACCTCGTCTGATTTTTTTATTTTAAAGTTATTATTAAAATTTATTAAAAATTATTAAAAGTGTCAACTCAGCTACCACGTAAGCAGGTAATCTGCTAAAATTGATGGTAACCTGCTATCAGGTGAAATTGCATATATTGGAGTGTTTAGTGACCTAATTGCAATTTTTCTTTGTTCAGTGACCTAATTGCAGGTTATATTCAGTGACCAATTTGCATATTATTCCTATTTAAAAATTAAAGAGTTATTTAATTAAAAAATATAATAGTTATGAACAATTCGACCAATCCTACATATGATGATCGGTGTAACACTCTTATAAGAGTCTTTGTCCAAAATTAAAGTCAAATATATTATAGAAAACTAACTACTACTCCAACCTACTAGTTTGTTTCCCCACACTAATAAATTGGTACTGTACAATACGATTATAAAAAATGAATAAATAATATAATAATTATTAAATATAGTAGATTAAACATCAACAACTAATTAATTAACAATAAAATAAATATTAAGACAATTTAAAAAATAAAAATTATTTTGGTTGGGATTCAAACATTGGGTATGAGTCACAACTGGGATGTCACGTATCATTGGCGGATGATACAGCACATTGGTAAGTAGTCTGTCAGTGACAGTGAAAAGTGACAACCAAATCATACAAATGATACTATGATTGTATTATTGTAATTTAGGCATGACTCCATGTTTGTCGATTTGTGTGTGTTACCAAACTGTGGTATTAGCAGGGAGGGCAACCTTGTCAAATGCTAACAGATACCTTAATAATTACGTATATTAAAGCGGTGGATAGTGATTTGCATATCCTATATATTTAGTTTGGTCCTACTTTAGATGAAAATTTGATCTATTTCTAAGATTCCATGTAGTTGGTGATTATGGGCATCAAATTATTAAAAAGAAAAATTAATTGGGTATATTAAAATAAATTGAACCTGCCTCAAGATAGTGATTGAGTGGGTAGAATATAACTCTCCTATCTAAAAGTTACAAGTTTAATTTGATCTTGTCAATACTCAGTCAGTTGTCCTCTGTGGCTGTGTGGTTTGCGCCTTTACCAATTGCGTAGCTTTACACAGAATTAACCAGAGAGTTAATATAGTGTACACTCTCCTCAAATTCTTGTCATTTCTCTAATCTCTTAACGTTATCGAAAAAAAAAATCTTCATTTTCTAATTATTAAAATGAGATCACAAAATAAGAGTTATGGAAAAAGTAAAAATGGTAATAACTCCTGCCAAACAAAGAGGCTAACCTATTTCTCTATCATATCTTGATTTTTCAAAGGAACTCTTTGGTCCCTATCCTCTATGAAGTGAAAAAAAAAAAAAGGTAAAAATGGTAATAACTCCTACCAAACATAGAGGCCTATTTCTCTATCATATCCTGATTTTTCCAAGGAACTCTGATCTTTGGTCCCCATTCTCTATCAAAACTTCATAGAAGGGGACAAGCTAATAAGGCCAATGTGTTGTGGCCTTTTGCATCCCTGTTCAAAAGGGATATGAGAGTAAGGGGTATTTGATTTGCTGAAATATATTTTTCATGAAAAATATTTTTTTAAAAGGGAAAGAAAATAATGTTACATATTGTTTGGTTAGATGGAAAATATTTTTTATTAGATTTTTTTTTAAAGGTGAAGAAAGTTTTTTCCTAACTCATTTTAGGTATTTTATTTTTTCATATAAAAAATTTTCTATGGAAAATTAGTATGACAATTTTGCACTCACCATATTTTACTAATTACTCTTATTGTTATATTATTATTGTTGTGTAGGGTTATATTTATCATTATACTTATTATTCCTTATCATTTCAGACCCAAAATAGAATTCATATTCTCAGTAATTTCTTTTCCACCAACCAAACAATAGAATCCATTTTCTTAAAATTTATTTTTCATGAAATTTTAATTCCATTCCTCTTCAAATAAGAGTGTCAAAATGGATTGAAGCTTAAAAACGAGACTTGAACTATCTAATCAATCATTATTGCATGGACCATAGATAAAAAGTACATTTTTAATATACTAAAGATACATTATTTGTATACTAAAAATACATTAATTTAGTACTAAAAGTACATTATTTTACATATATTATCAAATAATGTGCCTTCAAGTACATAAATAATGTACTTTTAGTATATTAAAATGTACCCTATATTCATGTTCTCCATACAATAATTTGCCCTATCTTATAAGGTGGGTTACAGGCGTACGAAAAATAAAATATTGACTTGTGAAGAAATGGACTTTGCAAGCTCAACTCATGTGGCTTCATGGACAGTGGGCCAACATTAATTTGTTTTCTTAAAATATGAAATGTTTGTAGGTACATTATTGTATTCATAATTGCATATACCTTTCAAATCATATAACATATTATTATTATATTCATGGTATATGATAAAAATTTAGTATGATTCTTTGTATTCCTCAAAATATACATATCTTAATTTGGGCCAACTTCATTTTTTGAATATTATATCTTAATTAATTGAAGTGAACTTCATTATTAAATATCCAAATTTTGGGCTTTCATATAAAAACGAATACAAATTATGATTATAAAAAATAATTACCATTAAAATATAGTTTGTATAAGTTAAAAATTATATATAATAATTTATACGTTAAACTATAAAATTACATGCAATATAATCATTTTCTTTTTCTATTTCTTACAATTTAAAATACGCAATCCTTTTTCCATTTCAAAATAAGCGCATAAAAGAATTGATATTAGAAACTTGTAATCATTAGAGCAACTTCATTAGATGAGGATTTTATTTGATTTTTATAGAGATAACTAGGAGAAAGAACATGAAACGAAAAAAGAACGAAAACGAAAAAAAAAAAAAAAGGAACTAACACACCTAGTGGTGCATGTAATGCACGCATTTGTTGGGCGTGCAATTGAGGAGAAAGAAATTGTTTTTTTTTTAGTGAGACAGTGAGGGGTCGTTTACTAACTAAATTTCCGGAAACTGGAAAATAGAAAACATGTTTACTAATACAGTTTTCTATTTTGAAAATTGAAAATAATTTTTGAAAATTTCTGTAAAATTGGAACACACTTAAAAACTGTTTTCAAAATGAAAAATAGAATCATCTATCATCTATTTAGTTATATGTCACTATAACCACATTACTATGATTACATTCATTATCATCTTATTTTACTTATCACTATCTTCTATCTTTTCTACTTACTTTACTTATTTAAACATATTTATTTGCTTACACTTTAAAGTTAGATATTATTTACATTATCAAAATTAAGAATTAAACTATATATAATGTTTTAGATTTTGATTGAACTCAATAGATTATTAGTTCGAATATTTTTAATTATGTTACATCATAATATAAGTTCGGTCCAGATATC